CAAGTGGGATAACATATATGAGGTTAGAAAAGTTCGATTTGTTGAAATGAAACTCACGGGTAGGGCTAGTCAATATTGGGCCAATCTAGAAAGCCTTAGGGAATCCCGCAATGAGTACCCCATCACTGATTGAACTTCTATGAAGCGCGAGCTCAAATAGAAGTACTTACCTCCCTCATACTTCCCTAGGCTCCTTGATAAGTGGAATCGGCTGACCCAGGTAGTAAATCGGTAAAGGAATACATTGCAGCTTTTGACGATTACCTGATTCGCTGTAAGGGGGAGACCTCTACTATCCCCGCTCAAATTTTGTCCATGTTCCGAATCGGGTTGTGTGAGGACCTATGCAGCGAACTGTTTGCCCAGAGCGTCACTACATTAGAGAATGCTTACAGTCTATTCTTAGACCTTGAAGAAACCCATTACCAGCACCCCAGTCGACACCAGGATGCTAGATCTTCCAACAGACCCTCCAGTGGATCGGCCCCACCCACTCTCAAGTTTGAGGGGTACTTTTCTATCACACAACAGACTTTATGCATTCCTGAACTTTAACCATCTAACTCGAATTCTACTAATAATATCCCTATCTATTTGACCATCACTTCGATTAATAGACCCGAGATATCTAAAACGAGTACTCTTATTAATGACTTGATTGCTCAAAATCAAAATCCCTCCACTAAATCTATTACTACTAAAATTACACTCAATGTATTTTGTTTTAGATATACTCAAACAAAAATATTTAGACTCTAAGGTTGACCTCCATAATTCAAGTTTTCCATCAACTCCCTCTCTAGTCTTATCAACAAGAAGAATATCATCATCAAAATGCATACTCCATGTAGCTTTACCTTACAAGTGTATAGTAAGAACATTCATGACTAAAGTAAAAAGATATGGGCTTAAAGCTGATCTTTGATGTAATCCAATTGAAATAGGAAAATATTTAGTCAAACGATCTTGTGTTTGAACACAACTACTCTTGCATGCACATCTTTAATGACTTGAATATAAGCATTATTAACTCTTTTCTTTTTTAGAACTTTCCAGAAAACTCCTCTTGTAACTTTATCATATGATTTCTCTAAATCAGGAAATATTATATGTAGATCATCCTTATTATCTCTATACTTCTACATCAAACCTCTCAATAAATATATAGCTTCCATAGTAGACCTACTCGACATGAGCTTGAATTGATTTTGAGAAATATTAGTATCACGCCGTAACCTATGCTCAATAACACTCTCCCCTAATTTTGATATGTGACACATTAACTTAATTCATCTATAATTCACATGATCTTGTGCATCACCTTTTTTCTTTAAAAATAGGAATCAACATACTCCTCTCATTTGATATTTTTTTAGTCTTCAAAATAATATTGAAAAGTTCTATAAGCCAAGAAATTTTCTTCATCTCGTTAGCATTTCCACACCATTGGAATATCATCAGGTATAACAGTTTTTTTCATACTTCATTTTTTTTAAAGTCTCTTTAACTTCAATTTTACTAATATCATGATAAAAATTAAAATATTTATTTTCATTGAGGGTACTATGGTAATTGAAGTCAATCATATTCTCACAATCTTCATTGAAAAGATTATAGAAATATCTTATCCATCTTTATTGAATATTCTCTAATAATAAAAGCACATTTTGATCTTTATTCTTAATGCACTTCACTTGAACTAAATGTTACTTCTCTCTCTCTCTCTCTATAATTCTTTTGCCCTCTAGCCAAGCATTGCGTAAGTTTTAGGTTGATTTAGCATTTGGAAGGAGTGCTAAAGGCCGCATGGGTGACTTGGGCAAGGTTTCTCCTTGACACAAAGGAGGCTTGAGTTGGTAGGCAAATTCCAATTTTTTGTATACTTTGGCAAATTGAATTTAGTGTAAGGTTGATAGTTTTGAAGGGCTTGAATGCAAAATTATTTTGAGTTAAAATATTATTTTAAGGTTATTCTGTGTTAGATTGGGTCGTTAATTTTAGAATTATTAAATTGTGAAAATTATTATTTTTAGGCTGCGTAGAAAAAGCAAGTCTTCATAGAGATAGAAATAAAGAAGTTTGTCCTGAGGAGGATTCGATAACTTTTATGAGATACTCCATTTTTAATAGAGGTAGAAAATGATTCAGAAGCCTAATAATAGTAATTTCTAATATTACCTTACATTGTTATAAGCATATGGACAAATTTTTTTCATAATGAGCATTTTGGTTAAATTTAGTGTTAAAAAAAATCTACTGCATTGAATCTATTCTCCTATTAAAATAATTCAATGTTATTGTATATCATGCAAGTCTTACGATATATCATGCATATTTAAATATTCATATGTTATTTTAAATAATGCACATTGATGCCTCAGCTATATGCTAATACAAGTTAATGATAAAATGCGCATAAAAATGTTAAAAATATTTTTAAATGCTATAATAATGATTTCGAAAGTAAAAGAAGCCTATAAAAAGTCATGTACTGTGGGGCAGGTTAGCAAATGATGAGGAACTGCATATGGAGATGTAAAATTTCTGAATCGATGAACCTTTCCCCGACTCTCAATATTAAAAGTTGGTATGATATGGTCCAGTCTTGATGGAGAGGTGGTTGATAACTGCTCCATTAGATTTAAGTCTAAATCTTATCAATAGTTATTATGATGGATGGGCTAAGTGATGACTAAATGATATAAATGTGCTAATGCTCTTTACAGATATTATATGATACTTTTAAGATAATGGCTTGTAGCAATTAGAAAGAAAATGAAAGTAAAATAGAGAATTTTATATCAGCTTCTAACTAACGATGCATTTAAGTGATCTAACAATTAATAAATGCTATTTAATTTTTTTGCCAACATTCATGGTTAGAGGCTATGATTGAATTGTTTTTTTATATAACTAATTAATCATGTCCTGATTTAAATTCTATTGTGCTAATTTTATCTATAAATGCTAATTCTCATATTAGTTTAAATGATTAATATGATTTATTATATTTTTTTCTTGTATGTTTGATCTTTATATTAGAATTCTTTATATCATTGAGTTTTAGCTTATCAAATTTTACGATGATTATTGTTTTATGCAAGGGCAATGAGCTAGTTGGGTATTAGTCAGGTGAACCCATTTTGTCCTGTACCCTTACTTTTTGGATATACAGTTTTTGTTGTATTCTAGAAGAAAGAATGTTTATGATCTAAATTAAAAGCTTTTGGTGTGTATAAAATTTATATATTAAGGTTATTTATAAGCTGTATAATCTATTTGATGATTTCAAATTATGCATGCTTTTATATTAATGATTATGATATATTTATTAGAGCATTATGAAGTTTATGTGTGTTTTATGATGATCTAGCAGATTAATTTTATACTTGATCCTGGATAGTAAAAATAAAGTTGAGTGTTAGTGGGAATCAGTTAGAGTGTATTATCTACCTCTGTTATGTCTCATTGTTGATTTGAGACGGTCAAATTAGATGTGATATTAACATCCTCTTAGAAACATCACTATCATCGAAGACCCAATCCACTGTTGCATGTACACCTTAGTGGAATTAGAAATCCAACTACAAGAGAAAATTCTTGTGAACACTAGATTAATTAAGTGAATGCTGAATTTAATTGGAATTTAGGGCAATTTATTTAATAGATAAATTAATTATAATCGCTAATATAATTACGTTATTTATATATACATCTATATTTTAAAATGATTCTTTCAAAATATTGAACTTTATAAAAATACTTTTGATCATATTTGGGATGTGTGAAAAATAATTTATACATTTTAGGAGAAATTTTAATCATACCTTTTGAAAGTTTGAGTACTGCATCAATAAGCAGAGCAGCAAAGTAGAAAAAAATTCTAGCAAATCTTTTAGCATGCAGTGAAGGAGAATTAACAAACTGTTTTTGGTACAGCAGCAAGAATGCCGTCCAACAAAGAAATTCAATAAGAGTGCAGAAGGTAAGCAGCATAGCAGGTGGGGATGGAACGTTCTGTCTATCATTTTTACATCTATATTTCAAATTTGGATTGTAGATTTCAGCAAACTATTATTAAGTCTCATATTGTGTTTGTGGCGAAGATGTTGATGGCAATTGTGGATCTTTTGGAAGAAATCAGAAGAATCATTAAATGAGTTACGGAAAATAACGAAAAGAAGACCAATTCATCTCTTAATGGATTAGTTGTTTTCTTTAATACTCAAAAAATGTAGGGTTACTGTAGAGATTCTTAAGTTTCCATAATTGATGAAAGCGAGATGGCTTTATTGTGTAAGGAGGAGAAGATGAGTTGTAAGGGAGGGGTCTGCCAAGGGGTAAGGGAGAGCAGAGTAGTTAGGGAGTAACCATCTTGTTTTCACTCGTATTAGTTGTTACAAGCTTTGGGGGCCTTTTTATATTGTAGTGGGTTCATAATCTAAAGGCTAATACAATTATAAGAGATAAAATAAAGACTAGTTTCCCATGAAATGAAATGAAACATGACGAAAGAAACATGAAACTAAACTAAATTATGCTCTCTACTGAATCAGATTATAGAAGGGTTGGCCATGTTCTTTACTCATATGTTATTGGTTTAATTATGTTTGTTTGTGGAGCTAGGTACCATGCATAGAAGATATGAGATTACATTCATATTATGTTTTGCTTTAGCGTGAACTTGGTGTATATTTAGTAAATCTCGACCTCCTGCTTGATTTATTTTACAGTAACATTGGAAATTACACATCCTTTCCCATTGGTTCTGATTAATTACTTCAACAATATTGCCCTTTATACTTTTCCTGATAATATTTAATTGTTAAAAAGATCTCTTGTCGTTTACTCACCTGTTTCACTTTTTGATCTGTCTATTATTATTATTATTTTTAAATCTATTATGTATAGGTGTTCTAAGTTCTTAGATCTTCTTAGATTTTGTAATGACAAGGCATTGTCTTAATGGGCATCATTCTGATTTTGAACAATAATTGCAGGATGCTTGTTTGTCATCTGCAAGAGTGGCGAAAGAGTTATACCATGCTTCTAGGGATGTTCTACTATTGTACAAAGCTATCATACCAATGAAGGTCTTCAGACAAACAACTCGAGTTATAGCATTCTTTTGCTTGAAGAGTGAGATTTACCATCATACTCAGCTGATGCATAATATCAACTTTGTAATTATACTTTTAAAAAGAAATGGACTATGTTTTGCACCCCTTTCAATCTTTGTAAAATCATCCTTTCTATCATTTCAAAAGGTTATAAATAAAGGAAATTAATATTTCTTCATCTAAACTCAATTAATGAAGTTCAGCATTAACCTTGCACTTAATTATTTAGGCCTCCCTTTTGTATCCTCTTTTGTTGATTCCCGTTGAGTTCTACGTGGGTGTTAACTCTATTTTGTACAAGTTTTATGAATAGCTTCAAAATGTTTCATGTGATCTACCCCTTTTCCCTTTTAATTTTCCTATTAATTCTATCAAAAGCCTCTTTAGTATTTATTTTCCTCCTTGCTCTACATGACCAAATTGTATCCCGATGTTTCTTCAATTTCAATATGTGCCACTTTGATCTATCTTTTCTTGCGAGCTTATATGGTACAAGATATAGGTGAGTAATTTTGTTTTGTGTTAGAAAGATATATTTATCTGCCCAGAATTGATACCAACTGAATGAATGTTGAAGATGCATTCCACAAACCTATGTGCTGGAGTGGGGATAAATCAAATAATTATAAGGGTGGTGGCTGTAGCTTATGGTCATTTTTTGTGTTCCAGTTGCTTAAAACAGATATAGAAGAAATAAACCATTGGTAAACTCAACATTAGAAGCTAGGCAATTGAATTATCATTTTGCCTATCTCACTGACGATTGGATGCTGCTCCTAATACTGATCTAAGAGTGAAGCTGACTGGTTAGATTTAACTGAACATGGGAAGGTCTTTGAAAAAGCAAGCTTGGGCTTAGTGAGCTTGTAAACATGGTAAAAAACTCCTTCAAAGGAGCTAACCAAGTTTCCGCATGGACCTAGAGTGCTTTTAATTGTATGCACTAGTTGCATGTATAAATTCAGACAAGCTTTTAACTTGAGACTGATTGACATTTGAAATTAAAACTTTATTCCGACTTATTATGATTTAAGGAAAGAAAAAATGTGATGGAAGAAACAAACCTGCTATGAAAGAACAGGTTGAAATCCTGAATTTTGTATATATACTCTTGAATTAAATCTAAATGTACAAAAGATGAGTGTTATTAAAATTTTAGATTAATGATGCATGGAAGTTTTTTAACTTTTTCATGAAACTTAACAAAAGATTAGAACCGTGCTTAGACTATGTTTGTTCAATAGTCCCACAATGAGAACATGGGTTCACTTGACATTGGTGCAATCTGTAATACTATCATAACCATTGAGTTGATCCATTGGATTTGATCTTTGATTAGTTGACTTTTTGGATGAGTCCACTGTGTTCAAGTATGGCGGCTCATCATGTGTAATCCACTTTGAGTTTATAATTAAATTTTTGTACATTTAAGCAAATCGGGTCTTGGGGCATGCTATTGGAATCAATGTTTCAAAGTGCTGTGCAAAGTACAAAGTGAAGCAACAATTTTACTAATTAGAGTGTTTATGAGTTAAATATCATATACATATATATTATGTGCGTATAGCAGTAATTTAATTAATCAAAATTAAACCACATCAAGAAATACTTTTTAAACAAATATAATGATATATGCCAATAATAATATTTTTTAGTTATTAGAAATTCAAAATCAAACCAAAAGTATAATAGATAGAAATAATTAAGTGATGTAAGGATACTTTAAAATTAAGAATATACTTATGAGATAGAGTGACCAACAAGAAATCGAGAGATGAATGCAGTGTAAATAGATAGATACTGTGAAGAGACATCGAAAAACATTCTTAGAAGAAGCTTGTGAGAGGGAAGCTACTATTGCTAAAATGTACTAGCAAAAGTGTATGAGAATTAGTGAGGGAGTGAGCATGAAGAGAAGAAGAACTAAGAATTGATTAATTCAAGCGGAAAAGAATGTAGAATCGATGAGCTATGACTCAATGACTACGAGAAATAGTAAATAATCATGCATAGTTATTATGAATTTTGTGTAAAGGTAAAAGATAGCAGGAGAAGTACAGAATGATCATTGCAATTTTTAATTAGATTTTTAGAATGGTTAGAAGGAAATGGCTATATAATGACTGTTTAGGAGAAAAGTTGCACGCCTAGGGTGCATTGAAGTTATTATGGATATGCACAATGGAGTAGGTTGTAAGACAAGTATTATTAACTGAAAGGAAGTGTTAACAGGATTTTTAATCATTTTAATTCTATTCAAAGGATCAATATTAAGCCATAGATTCTATGAATCTTAGTTGTATATATATTGAAGATATGGAAATCATATCTTCGTATGTGCAGCCTGATGACTTGTTGGGAATGGAATCTGAGTAAAATGCAAATTTAAGGCAATAGAAGAAGCCTTAGACAATAAGGGACTCAAATTTGGTAGATGCAAATTCGAACATGTTATGTGTGAATTTTTGTTGGATATCAAACTGAGGAGCAACAATTGCAATTAATAATTACAGTGATCCCTGTTAGATTTTTTTGTCCTATATGTATAAGAACCAGGCTGGATGATGATACATGCAATGTTGTGCAGTATGGTTAGACTTTGTCAATATGGGAAGTTACCTCTAAGGTGCTTGATATAATGGTGCCGGAGGGGAAATTTGTGAATCTACTAAGAATTGCTATGTAACCACTGAGCACTGTCTTGGTTACCTACCTACTTTTAACAGAGAAGTCAGGGATTCAAATATATTGAAAAATAAGACCACTATGTGCAAACTATGATGAGCCAAATGTTGCAAAGATGATGATGTTGAGATCGATATTGGTGGATGTTTGGAACAAATAATCTTTAATTTCTTATATTAGAAAAACTTTAGGAGTAAAATTACTGGAAGATAAGGTTAGAAGGATTGATTGAGATGATTTGATTGTGTGCCAGGGGATTAAAGAATCTGCCTTTGATATATGATAAGACTAGGTTGACAGAGATGGTGACGGACTGGATTCAGCTCCAGCACTACTCTTAATTTAGATGAATGTAGAATTCAGAATGCCTTCCTTGATCAGTTGTGATATGGAAGCTCTTTGATAATAATAATAATAATAAATGAAATGAGCTTGCAAATCATTTTAGTCTAAAAGAGAGGTCTGCCAAGTGAAGCTTGCTAGACATTAATTTTTGTAATATTCAAATGTTCTGTTCATTGAGTTATTTTCTTTCACGTGGTATACATTTCTGGTTTTTAGTTTTTGACACTTCTCTTTGTTGTATTTTAGGTAAATGCTGTAGTTATGTTGGTCCATATCTTTCCAACGTGAACTGATATATTCTGCATTTTCCATGCATATAGTTGGCGAAGCAGCTGCATAATGTTAGCCAGCAAGCAGTAATTGTGCATAATGATTGTTATTATTTATCTCAAGAGATTCCTGGGCTTACTTTTGAGGTACTATTGCTATATTAGCTGTACATTAATCAGAAATGTTTCTAGGTCTCAATTTTTTAATGTTCTTATACTGTTTTTTATTTTTTCCTGCAACATAACTTAAAGTGAAGCATTTTAGACATAGTAATTACATTGTAAATTAGAAATCTGTTTTTACGTATGGGAATGATACGTGTAATTGATTTTGCAGTGCTTCATCTTGTTGGATGCTAGTGGTAAATTTGCATTTGTGGTTGCTCTTTCCTCTCATAAACCTTGTGTTTTGGCTTTTGTGAACAAAATTTTCAAGTCAGTGTTTTTCATCTACCGGATATAATTTTGAGGATTGTACAACCCCTGGAAGAGTATCTCAACCCATGTATTAGAAACATCAAGATAGGTAGTGGTACATTGCCAACAATGTTTAAAATTGTGCAATTGGGTATTGAGGCATTTTTTTGTTCATGAGGCGAGGTGTAAGCCTCAAGGCATTTTGAGGCCTATGCATGAAAATAAAAAAAGTTGCGTAAAGTGATAATAAATGTCAAAAGTGATTCTTTATATAATACTTAAATAATATGTTAAATGATGACATATTAATTTTCTATTGAATTATGAATTAACAAATTGACATACATATGTGTTAAATCTCAACCTTACGATCCCAAAGATATCAACGACTGAGAATAGTAATCCGTGGGAAGACTACCTGGATAGCATTAATTCCTTCCATTGATTTAGGAATAATTGTATTCTCATTATTATAAGAGTTATTTATTTCCTTATCAATACACCTTATACAGATCTATAAATAGGGAGTAGATTGCATAATAAAATTCAAGCTTTTGACTCTCAAATTCTCCGTTTTAACATGGTATCAGAGCCGATCGAGAGGCCTTCATTGCCGAACGATCCAACCTTCTGACGCTGCAAGAGGCCGAAGCAGAAATGCCGATTCTGCCCGTCGCTGCCGCAGACGGACGCCTCAACTCCTTTAGAACTATAGTCGAAGGAGCTTAGACAAACAACCACGAGGGAAACGAAGGAGACGAAGGAGCGGTCATACCCGTCCAAAACTGTCCGTGCGGAAGACCCTTCCGAAGCCAATCGGAAGTTCGTCCCGATAGCTGAACGACCTGCTCTTCCGCTCGAGCGACAGGAGGAGCCCGATCGAAAGCAGGGACGGACACGGGCCAAGCATCGGGTTGGACTCGACGGCGTGGATTCGACTACTAGGGTGGAGTCGGACGGCGGCGTGGCAGCAGGCATTGGAGTTGAAGAGCGGCGGCCTGGTTAGGGCAGAAGTAGGTCACGGCCGGTTGCAGAGTCCGGCCAGACACCGGCTCCTGTTCCACCTTCTCGGATCTTGCCAACCCGACCTTCATCCGAGGCAGAGCCCGAACCCGTGCCCAGCCTTTGTTTTAAAGGCTCGGCTGGTGTGTTTAAAAAAAAAAATCGACCTTTATTGTCGATTAGAAAAATTTTTTGGGTGCCTTCATTGTTGTCCAAAAATCAAATAAATAGTCTTCATTACTATTATTTGACTCAAAAATGTTAGAAATTAACTCTTCTTAAAACACTAACCAACTTGAGGATTCTATGGTGCACCAAGGGCGAGGTGACCTTCAAAGCATGCAACCTTCCTATTGTCTAAATGGGAAGAACTACCTGAAGTGGTCTCAATTTGTGAAGTCCTACTTGAAGGGGAAAGGTAAAATACATCACATGCTTGGAGAAGGATCAAAAGAAGGAGATCCCAAATTTGGGGCATGGGATGAAGCAGACTCCATGATTATGTCATGGATATGGAATTCCATGACTCCAGAAATTAGTGATACATTTATGTTTCTTTCGACGACAAAGGACATATGAGATGCTGCCAGACAAACCTACTCCAAAGCTCTTGATGCGGTCCAAATCTTTGAAGTTAAAGTCAAAGTGGGAAGCACGAAGCAGGGGAGTAAGACCGTGACGGAGTATGCCACCATCCTACAAAATTTGTCGCAGGAACTTGATCACTATTGGTGCATAGAAACTAGATGTCCGGAAGATGCGGCGATCCTAAAAAACTTTATTGAAAAAGATAGAGTTTATGACTTTCTTGCAGGACTACAAATAACTCATGGGTAGCACCACCCACCCAGGATGTGGCAACATACATATAAGTGGACAGATAGATGTTTGCAGACTTCTATAATAGAGCGCTGTGAACATTCAAGATGCTGATCATGTCGCACAACTGATCAAATCCAAATAATTTTAAAATTCCCATCTCCATCACTACAACAATGTGCACATGCAAATATGAAAGTATAAATGCAATCATATTAACATTATACATATTGAAAAGTATATATCCACACGGGCTAACAGCGAGCGTGTTGTAGTTACAACACAATGTCGCCTGAGGATGTTGTGCGTGTCAAGAGATGAATCTAAGTTTGAGCCCAATCCTTAATTTGCGTAGATATAAGTTGATATGGCTCGAACTATCAAAGCAAAATGTTTGGTTGCGTATCGATCGCTATGTTGAACCGATACGGATACGGCGACACGTACGACACGTTACGAATAACGGGACAACACAATTCTTAAAAATACAGGATACCAGGTACTTGCGCGGGACACGCCATATAATTTATAAAATCAACAATAAAAAAAAACAATCAAAGCATAATTTTGATATGACAAAAAATGAAAGCAACATCATTTGTAGCCTTGTAGCTATAATATCAAAATAAAAGTAGGCATTGAGTCAAGGGAAGAGTGAAACTTATTGGCCTGATAAGAATTTTGTGGCATGATTACACCTAAATATGCAATGATTTGGTGGCATGTTACCTGAATACATATAAGAGCTAAACTTTTTTTTTCATTTATAGAAACATACAAGCTAATAGTAAATGATTTTTTTTAATACATGAATAAAAATCATAAGCATTACAAATGCAAAATAATTGATGCCCTAATATCATATTTTCTAGTGAACTAACATCAATGTAAATTGCTCAGCGCTGGGTTTGAAAAATGAGAATACACTCGCTCACAGCCTGGGAAGTAATATACCGCGTCTTTTTCGGATTTTTTTCAATGCTTTCAAACGGATAAGAAGTATCCGATACGTGTCTTTCGAAATTAAAAGTATTTATAATTGGCGATAGGCTTTGACGTATGCTGACACATATCGGTGCAGTATCAAGACGCATAGTCATATTCGACATTCGTTACCTTACAGCACCTTATAAATAGGTATTAGATGCAACATAGTGATCGGGAATTTGTTTCATACATTCAATATTAGGCCCTCAAGGTCCTCAATAAAAAAAAAATATGACACAAGACCTAAAGCCGATATATGAACCGATCCATTTGTCAGCCAATTAGACAGTCGACAAGTTCAACAGATAGTTACAAAAATGAAACCTAATGTTGAGGTTGTACAGGCTTAGTTCTTTTATTGTTGCTATTTTTTCATATGTTGTTGTTTTAATGTTCAAATTATATTATTTTTATTATTATTTCTCCTAAACATATTTTAAGATTCCAACTGCTTTGTTGTTGTGGTGTAAACATATTTAGGGAATTATACTCTTGATTTATTGAAAGACTTCAATTAGATCATTTAAGATATTTTGTAAAGGGGTGTGAAGTCTGTATTTTTCATTTTATTGAGTCTGAGAGAGATTGTAATTAAGTAGCTGTGCACACACACACGAGGGGAGAGATTAAAGCTTGAAATTTTTAAACTAATCGTAATGTACAAATTAATTTCGTACGGGTCAATTTGTTCGGTTATTTCCCCGACGAGCAGTTAAACGAACATAAATGAAAATTTTTTCTAAGTAATAATTGTACTATACGATCCCAGTTCATACATGCCTTCCAGAGTACGAAATGGATGGGTTCCTGGTCGAGTAAAAAGAATTTTTCTAAGTATAGATCGTACTGTACGAACTTTCTAGAGTACGAAATTGTGAGGTCCATTTTTCATCCCGACTTTTCATCCCTATGAACTTGATATTTGTTATAATTGATCGTACTGGACGATGTCGTCATCGTACGTACGCCGATCAGAGTACGAAATGGATGGGTCTCTCTTCGTCCCGACGAAGGTGAAAAATTTTCTAACTGTTCGTATCGGACAAACATAGTTCGTATCAGACGATGATCGTGTACGAAATGTTTTCGTACCGATTCACAATAAGGTTCTGTAGAATTCATAGATTTGAGAAAGGTAAAAATACCTTCTAACTTATTATCAACGATTATCTATTTATAGATCATACAGAGCTTCTTAATAAAGCAAATAAATAAACTTCTAATTGATACAATAATGTGTCTCAAATATAATCCTTCTAAATTTCAGTTATCCAAATATAGAGGATATTGGCGTGATCCTAGGTGAGCCTCCAACGGATTCTCATCCTGTACCGTAAGGGATCAAATACAAAGGGATGAACTGAAGATTCTTCACTCCCCTCAGCTGGAGACCAGCTTGCAATTATCCGCTCAGAGGTAGAGTCTGCATTGGTTATGGATAGGATATCACTACCAGACGAAGCCGCGATATGAAGGCCGATGAAAATGGAAAACTATCCTCAAAATATTCGACAATTAAGGCCGGTGTGAAAAACTTGTATTCCTCATAATTTCAGCAATGAAAGGCCGGTTAGTGCGAACCTGTATTTCTCCATAGTTCAGCAATGAAGGCCGGTAGTTTGGAACCCTTATATTTCTCAGAAATTCGACAATGGAAGGCCGGTGTGTGATATAGTCAGCAATAAGGCTGATTGATCAGCAATAAAGGCTGATTTATTCATGTCAGGCCATAAAGGTATTTGGCTTTGTATCAGCATAAAGGCTGGATTTACCTTGTATCAAGCAATAAAGGCTTATTGATCAAGGCATAAAGGTGATTTGATCATGTCAGCGAATAAAGCTGTTGCTTGTATCAGCATAAAGGCTGATTTGATCAGCAAATAAAGGCTGATTTTTATAACAAGCATAAAAGGACTGATTTT